ACCCCTGTACACGCCCCTCTAACCAACCATCCATACCTACCCCTGTACACGCCCCTCTAACCAACCATCCCTACCTACCCCTGTACACACCCCTTTATCCCCATCTCCCTGCCCCTGTACACGCCCCTCTAACCAACCATCCCTACCTACCCCTGTACATGCCCCTTTATCCCCATCTCCCTGCCCCTGTACACACCCCTCTAACTAACCATCCCTACCTACCCCTGTACACGCCCCTTTATCCCCATCTCTCTGCCCCTGTACACACCCCTCTAACCAACCATCCATACCTACCCCTGTACACACCCCTTTATCCCCATCTCCCTGCCCCTGTACACACCCCTCTAACCAACCATCCCTACCTACCCCTGTACACACCCCTCTAACCAACCATCCCTACCTACCCCTGTACACGCCCCTCTAACCAACCATCCCTACCTACCCCTGTACACGCCCCTCTAACCACCTATCCCCATACACCCCGTACCTATCCCTGTACATGCCCTTCTATTCATCCATCCACAGACAGCCCCTGCCTATCACTGTATATGCCCCTCTATCCAGCCATGCCCATATACCCCACATATACCCCTCTACACATGCCTTTATTCATCCATCCCTATACACCCCCCACCTATCCCTACACCTATTCATCCATCCCCAGACTTCCCATCTATCCCTATCCCTGTACACTCCCCTCTATGTACCTATCCCGATACACCTCACCTCTCTATCCAGCCATCCTCATTCCCCTGCTCGCTCCATCCATCCCCACACACATCACCCCTCTACCTACACTCTATGGCCCCATTCACATAGTATCTGAGCACCGCACAATTGTTAATAGATCGATCCTCACACTACACTTGTGAGAGGCAAGTGCTGTTATTTCTTAGTTTCTGTTGTGGGTTTGTACAGCGCCTGGCACAATGGGGCCCTGGGTTGTGACTGGGGCACCTGGGGGCTATCACAACACAAAGCAAAGAGCCTGAGGGATTTGCCCTCGTCACACAGGGAGTCTGGCGGGAGCTGAGCCCAGATCTCGAGCCACTAACCACTGGGCCACGTTTCCTCCCTGGCGCCCTTCTCCCCATGTGCTATGAGCAAGTCACCACTGACCCTTCTCTGTGCTCAGCTGCAAACTCCCATTTAACTGGAGGATAGGGGAAAGCTGGGGAGATGACAATCCATCTACTCCAGACGACTCAGCGGGACGACCCCGATCCAGCTCCCCACGCCCCCCAAAGCGCGGAGCATCGGGCTGAGGTCTGAGCTAACCTGCTCAAGGTCTCCTCCCCCCCCCCCCCCGCCGCATGGAATATTACAGCCGGGGGGAGGCAGGTCCAGGCCCCATGCTGGGGGTGTCTCTCCCAGCACACACCCCACACACATCCCTCCTGCATTAGCATGGCTGGTGTGTCCATTGATCCCGACTGTGTGTTACACACACACACACACACACGCACACACACGTGGGTCTCCAGCCGGGATCCGAGCCGGGGTTCCTCTGCCAGCACAGAAGGTCATTATCGAGCCAGGGGGGGGCGGAGCCTGGTAGGACGAGCTGGAGCGGGACGTGGGACCTTTCCGCCTGAACCTGTGAGCTCCACCTGCGGGGACCCTCTGGGCTCCTCCTCATGCCCTTGGCAGCCCTAGGCCTTTCCCTGCTCTCAGCCCTGCCTGCCCCCTGCGCTGCCCCAGAGGGGCTCCCATCCAACCTGCCTAGTGCACTGCCCAGTTCCTGCCAGCCGGGGTCAGCAGAGAGACAGGGATGCATGCTTGGGGGAAGAGGGGAGATGTTCCTGCCTTTGCCATCCCCTACCTGTCCCGAGGCCAGTGCTGGGAATGTCCTCAGTTCCTGATGGCAGCCAGCCAGCGCTGGGTCCTCTGAGCCAGGGGTAGGGGGGCAGTTCCGGAGTGTTTGCACCTGCTCTGAAATTTGTCCCACGCCCACTCCCGTCTGAACCACCTGGTGCCACCCTCGGCCCATCTTTGCTGCCCAGCTTCCCTGGTCATGGGGTAAACCCAGATCCGGAGCTAGGGGTAAATCCAGGCCAATGCTCTGAGAGTCGAGGGAGAGCTGCACTGGGCAATGCAATCAGAGAGTGTGTGCGCATGGGTACATATATGTGCTCCCATGTATGTGGGCATGTTTGCATGCGTGTTCCTGTGTGTGTGCATGGCCATGCATCGGGGTGGGCACATCTGTGTTCACCTGTTGGCATGTGCGTGTGTGTTCCCATGTTCATGCATGTTTACATATGTGTGCAGGGTCTCCTGAGTGCTGCGCATGCATGGCTGAGTACGTGTGTGCGGTTGCGTGCGTTGCCCTCTTGTGGCACAGGCCACGGGCGGATAAAAGATCGACAGCTAGTGCAAACCAGCAGTGTTGCTCTTTAGCGCGGGTGCTGGGGGGCAGGGGGTTGGGCCATGCTGCTACTCAAGGATGGGGGCTCTTGCCCCAGCTGTGTGATCTGACCCCGTTCCTGTCCCGCTCTCGCTGATCACAAACTCCGCTCTGAGACTCACAGGTTCAGCCGGGCTGGCCCCACGGCCAAGGCTGGGGGTGGTGAGGTGGGATGGATGGAGGGCTCCTGGCGGGAGGAGGAGGAGGAGAAACACATTGTTAAAGATGGGGTGAGGGGGGGTTAG